ATAGATGGATAATATGGAAAGATGGGGAATTCCAGCACGGAAATTATAAAAAAGAACCAAATGTTGATTCTATACATGAAAACTACGATATGAGAACTGAAGAATCTATTAGATGGGCTTAAGAGAAGGCGACACAGTTCAGAGAGAAGACTCAGTGAACCTGAAGATAGGACAATGGAAAGTATCCAAACTGAAAACAAGAAAGAAAATAGAGTGAGAAAAAAAAAATAGAACAGAGTCTGCAATCTGTTGGACACTACCAAAGTGTATAAACCCATGTGTAAAGGAGAGGAGAGATAGAATTAGACAAAACAAATACTTGAAGAGATAATAGCTGAGAAGATTAAAAACTTTAAGGAAGACATCAATAAGCACGTCCAAAATGCTCAGCGAACTCCAAGCAGGATAAATACACACAAACCATGCTGTCATGGATTGAATTGTGTCCCCCAGAAATATCTGTCAACTTGGCTGGGTCATGATTCCCAGTATTGTATGACTGTGTACCATTCTGTAATCTGATGTGATTTCCTTATGTGCTGTAAACTCTATCACTATGATGTAATAACATGGATTAGCGGCAGTTATACCAATGAGGTATACGAGATTGGATAGTGTTCTAAGCCAATCTCTTTTGAGATACAAAAGAGAGAAGCGAGCAGAGACACACGGGAACCTCATACCATCAGGAAAGCAGTGCCAGGAGTAGAGCACATCTTTTGGACCTGAGGTTCCTGCGCAGAGAAGCTCCTAGACCAAGGGAAGATTGATGACACAGACCTTCCTTCAGAGCTGACACAGAAAGCCTTCCCCTGGAGCTGTAGCCCTGAATTTGGACTTGTAGCCTACTGAACTGTGAGAGAATAAACTTTCCTTTGTTAAAGCCATCCACTTGTGGTATTTCTGTCATAGCAGCACAAGATGACTAAGACAAACGTGCTTTCCCTTCCACTTCCCCCATCTCAATCTCAGCATCTTCCCTCAAACCAGGCCCTACGGTGGCTGAACTAAAGGTCAATTTCATATAAACAAGCTTTCACCTTTCTTCCTCTTTCTTCTCTTTGTTTTTCGTTTTTCCTGTCTCTCTCAATCTCTCACTTTATTTTTAATGTACCATGGATACTTGCTATCTCAATTAGGACACTGTGACTAATTAATTTTATTTTTGTATATGAAGATAATTGAACATATTGAGAACATTAAGAACAGGCCCAAGAAGACACATTTTCTATTAACCTTGTTGTGTAATAGTATAGGGAGCTTTAAAATTTTAGTCTCAAACTATAGGTGCTTCTTTCAGATTTAGCAAAAAGCAGTGACAGATGGCAATGTTAAAAATAAATAGAACATTCAAGTTGTTTATACTGTAGGCTAAGACAATTTTAAACTGTGAAACAAGCCTGAAGCTGACAGAATTCACATTTTCCTTTTCAAAATGTATTAAGGGTGCACACTTCCAACTCTGCAATGCTGCTCTCAAAAATTAAAAGACAAAATACTAGTTTTTGAGGGTGATCTAGTTTTTAAAATATTTTTATTCATATAAAATTAACAATGAACGGAAACCTGTTTTTCAAAACTATCAACAGCTAATGAACTTTCCCAAGTTTTAAAAACTTCCGGAGGTTATCACTGTTAAAAGTGTCAGTTTTCCATTCAGAATTTGAGAAAGTATTTGGTAGATACAGTTTATTTTAATAGCATTATTAAAATAATTTTAAAAACTCACTTTACGGTACATCTTCAAGTCAAAATTATCTAAGATGATATTTAGTAGCTAATAATACTTTACACCACAGAAAAATGCATAAAAGCAATGTACAAGAAATCACAATAAATTTTTGATGTTAAATCTTAATACCATCAAAGCAGTGAACAAAAATTTAAAAAAATGATCATCTCAATAGACAGAAAAAACATTTGACAAAATCCAACATTATTTCATGATAAAAACGCTAAACAAACTAGGAATGTAAGGGAACTTTCTCAACTTGACAAAGGATGCCTATGAAAAACCCACAGCTAACATCATACTTAATGGTGAAAGAATGGATGTTTTCTCCCTAAGATAAGGAACAAGACAAGGGTGTCTGCTCCCCTCACTTCTACTCAACATTTTACTGGAGGTTCTAGACAGGCCATTTAGGTGAGAAAAAGAAGTAAAAAATGGCATCTAGATTGGAAAAGAAGGAGTAAAACTACCTGTCTTCGCAGATTACATGACCTTGTATGTGGAAAATCCTAAGGAATCCACTAAAAAACTTAGAACTAATAAATAAGTTCAGCAAGGTTGCAGGATGTAAGATATAATCAATTCTATGTCTATGCACTTGCAATGAACAATCCAAAAATGAAATTAAGAAAACAATTCCCTTTATAATAGTACCAAAAAGAAAAAAGCACATAGGAATATATTTAATAAAATAAGTGAAAAACTTACACTCTGAAAACTATAAAACATCGTTGAAAGAAATCAAAGACCGTCTAAATAAATGGCAAAACATCCCCTGTTCATGTACTGGAAAATTTAATATTGTTAAAATGGCAATATTCCCCAAATTTATCTACAGATTCAACTCAATTCCTATCAGAATCCTAGGTATCTTCTTTATAGAAATTGACATACTGATTCTAAAATTCAATATGAAATTGCCAGGGACCCAGAATAGCCAAAAACAATCTTGAAAAAGAACAAAGTAGGAAAATTCGTACCTCCTGCTTTCAAATAGCAACCAAGACAATATGATACTGGCATGAGGGTACACATATAGTCCAACAGAACAGAACTGAAAGTCCAGAAAAAAACCCATGTATCTATTAGTCAACTGGTTTTCAACAAGGGAGTCAAGATAATTCAATGGGGAAGGAATAATCTCTTAAACAAATGGTGCTCGGACAACTGAATATCCATGTGTAAAAGAATGAAGTTGGACCCCTACACCTCACACATACACAAAAATGATCTCAAAATGGGTTGAAGATTTAAATGTAAGTGCTAAAACTATAAATGACTTAGAAGAAAATATAGGAGTAAATCTTCATGACCTTGGGATAGGCAAAGCCTTCTTAGACTAACACCAGAAGAATAAGTGACAAAGGAAAAAATAAACTGGGCTCCATCAACATTAAAAAAACTTTTATGCTTCAATGGGCACTATCAAGAAAATGAAAGACCCATAGAATGGAGAACATATCTGCAAAGCATTTTATCTGATAAGAGACCTGTATCTAAAATATATAAAGAACTTTTACAACTCAATAATAAAAATAAGCAAAGGATCTGAATAGACATTTCTCCAAAGAAGATATAAATGGCCAAAAAGCACATAAGAAGATGCTCGACATTATCAGCCATCAGAGAAATGCAAGCCAAAACTACAATGAGATACCACTTTACACCTACTAAAATGGCTGCTGGAGCCCTGACGGCACAGGGGTTAACAGCTTGGCTGCTAACCAGTTTGAATCCACGGCCTCTCCTTGGAAACTCTACGGGGCGGTTCTACTCTGTCCTATAGGGTCGCTATGAGCCGGAATCGACTCCACAACAATGGGTTTAAGCTGGCTACTAAAAAAAAAAAAACAAATGAAAAACAAATAGCAAGTGTTGGTGAGGATGTGGAAAAATTAGAAGCCTCATATACAGTGTTGGGAGGGTTATAAAATGGCACAATTGCTTTGAAAAACAGTCTAGCAGTTCCCCCAAAAAGTTACAAATAGAGTTACCATATGATCCAGCAATTCCACTCCTTGGTGGAGTGGAGAAATAAAAATATACATCTACACAAAACGGTATACATGAACGATCATAGCAATATTATGCATAATAGCCAAAATGAGAAATAACCCAAATGACCATCAGCTGATGAATGGATAAATAAAATGTGGTATATTCATACAACAGAATATTATTCAGCCATAAAAGGGATCAAAGTACTAATACATGCTACAACATGTACTGGATGAACTTGAACGAAAGGCCTGGTGATCTGCTTCCATAAAGACTGAAGTCAAGAAAACACCATGGCACACTTCTACTCTGTAACATATGGAGGCGCCGTGAGTGAAAACTGACTCATCAGCAATGGGTTTGGTTTTAGTTTACCTAAATACCATACAAGACAAGATGGTTTGGTGTTAGCTTTTAGGGCAGAAGTGGGACAATGCAAAACAAGAAAAAAAATAAACTTTTTTTTTCTTTCCTAACTGTTACACACAGGTCCTAAATCTTGAAAATACTTTTAAGGAAAACAGTCCATCTAAATCCTGAGGCCCAAGATTTTTTTTTTTTTTTTGCTTTCTATAGGCGAGGACCGGGACGTTTGGAGGAAATGTAATACAATTAGGCAAAGTAAACTTGATTACATCCTCATTCCTCCAAAGCTTGTAAGTCTTTGTTTTTATGTTGTTTTTTAAAAAATTTACATTGGATTAAAAAGTTTCAAACTAGGTATTCTGTAGAATCTTTCTGAGATGAAATCACCTCAATAAATAAATAAGAAAAAATGCATTTTCTTGATTTTTATCCCCTGCGACATTGCCTTACTTATTTGGAAAATACTTCACATATTTGTAGAGCACTGTAAGTATACTATGTAAATAATAAGAAATACTCTTTAAAATAGCTTTGATGTTCATAAAAACTGATAAAATACACATTTCCTTCATCTATTAATTTTCAGTTACTCATATCATCTCTGTTAGTTCTTTAAACCTCCATTTTTTAATCATTTTATTCAGTTATAAGCTATACTTCTACTGTACAATTGAGAAAGCAAATAATGACACAGTTTAATGGAGCAAAATCCTCTAAAGACTTGAATGTGTATAAACCTATGTGAAATGAGCAATAGGGAAATAAGAACACACTAAAAAACAAAATCACACGTACAGTATATCAATAAATGCAAAGAACAGCAAAACAAGATATGTACTCTACTGGAAAATGTTATCTTTAATCAGTTCATAAAATAACCACATTGAAGAAAAAATGCACTCACCTGGTTTTGGCACAGAGTTGGTCACTGACTGGGGAACCTTCTGGTTAATTAACTCTACACAGTGTCCAGGGAAGAGTCCCACCTGTAAAAGGAATGAGGCAAAGAGAGGACTCTGAACCAGAGAAGAGACCAGTATGTGAGCATTGCCAATTGAATTCCAGTAATGTACTCCACAGTCCCTCCCAAATGATTCTATTCTTCCAAGATTGTAAATAACAGATCTGCCAACTATACAAACAAAAAATAAAACAATCTGTTGCTAAGAGTACACAGTTATGTGTTTTATTTGTCCAACTATCAACGTAAGTCTTCTTTTTTAGATTTTTAATGTTCCAAGCCTTTTCTACACCAATTATTTAATCTGATAAGCTATGGATGCAGAAGGTATAATTTTTACCTCTTTATAATTTATTTTGCTGAAATACCAATCTGGTTGTGTTGATATCAACTTATTATGCTTACTATCTTCTCTATGACTTTTTAAAAAATCAACATTAAGCCACAATTCATTTTTTTTTTTTTTTTTGAGAATTTTCTCTTCCACAAACTTCATGAAAAATGAGTTAGGATTAAAAATAAATTTGTGAAACCATCAGTGATATAAAAAGCCTAGTTAGTCACTGCTGTAAGAGCTGGTAATGGGTGGGTAAGGGGAAAGTAAGAGAGGGGAAAACAGCCAAGTTCAGCAGTGGCAACAGACACTGGATCTTGAAAACACCACCCTGACCTTGTAGGAGAACTGCTTGTGTGGTAGAATCCTAAGAAGTTGTATTAAAAAAAAAAAAAAAAAAAATCTGAGCTCCATATCACCCAGCAATACTGCACGGCCAGGGACCACAAGCCAGCGGGATGAGTGCAGAGGTTAACAGTCTGGAAACAAAAGTAAGAAGCAAACCATGACCAATATTTAGAGATGTCTCCTGAGACAGGAACATAACTGGGCGGCCCTACAGCAGATGTTAAAGCTGAAACATGAAAACAACATCACTTTGTACACTGCTCTGTTGACAGACTCTGGGGAACAACGGGATGGTCTTCCAAAAGTATGAGTCATTGTCAAGTTCTGAGCTGTATAATTTCCATCTGTGTGGGATCACTTTCACATACTCATTTGCTGCATTCTTATTTCAATTTCTGGATCAGTGTTCTATAGCGGTTCTTAAATTATGAAGATGTAACCAGCTATCATGAGCTAAAAAGAGTTTATTAATAAATTATGAAATCTGCTTGAAAAGATTTGAATTTAGGATTCTTAAAGGCTCTATGCATTGCCTTCCAAAGCAATGCTCAGGGATTTGTTTTATTGGTGAGATCCTATAGCACATTCTATTCAACCTCCTATTTAACTAAACAAGTAGAAATTCTTCCATGATTGGCTAGGACCCACTAAGAACCAACTGGAAAAATACTCATCACCTCTTACACAAACCAGCTGTCATGAGGAGTGTGGCCTAATGGTTCATGGCGCAGACTCACGAGTAAGAGCACCTGGGTTCAATTCTAGATTTGCCACCTGCAGGCTCACATTTCTAACCTAACCACTCTGTGCTTCAGTTTCTTCATCGAAACATAACAATAGTCCCTATCTCACAGAATTAAGTGGATTAGTGTAAGTAAAATGCATATAGTAAGCACTCACAAACGTTACCTATTATTAGCCCATCACCACTCATCTGTCAGTTTCTCGTACTGCGGTGGCTTGTGTGTTTCTGTGATGCTGGAGGCTATGCCACCAGAATTTCAAATACGAGCAGGGTCACCCATGGTGGACAGGTTTCAGCAGAGCTTCCAGATCAAAACAGACTAGGAAGAAGGACCTAGTGGTCTACTTCTGAAAAAACTGGCCAGTGAAAACCTTATAAAAAGCAGTGGAACACTTGTCTGATACAGTGCTGGAAGATGAGCCCCTCGGGCTGCTGCAACGAGGGGCTCAAGCGTAACGATTGTGAGGATGGCATGGGCAGGGGATGGCACAGGACTGGGGTAGTGTTTTGTTCGGTGGTACACAGGGTCACTATGAGTTGGAGCCAACTCGATGGCACCTAACAACAACAAGATTATTATCCCAGTATGTAGGATACTAGAACGCCTAGAAGGCTCTAGTCTCCCCCCATCAACTGGATATGACACATAATACTTGCCATCTTTTGCATGTGTGCTTAAATTTCCTCACTCTCAAATAGCATTCTTTCCATAAAATTCTCATTCAATTTCTAAACATTTTCTGCAGTCTGGTATAGAGAAAGTACCTAGCCTAGTTTCTAAACTCTAGTTATCTTTTAGCAAACAATAAAAATCAGTTTTCTATCACTTCCTCACAAAGCCTGAACAAAAGAGCTTAAGAAAATTCTTTGGGGAACTATATCAAATATATTACTTACTTCTTCACCTTTTAAATTTGTCTCAACACATGAGGTTTAAGTACATGGGAGAAAACGCTATTGCACATCTAACACCTACCTCCAATCCTGTCTCTCTTGCCTGCCTTCATTATGAGCTGTAATATTACCAAATACTAGCTAAATATTCAGTAACATTCTAATACTCAGTTTCCCGAACTTCTTGCATCCAGTTGTAGTCAAGGCACGTGTCAACACAACTCTCTCTCTTCTCCTTCTCTCTGCTATGAATACAGACGTCATGTCGGTGCTGCAGTAGCTACTACTTGACCTTTACAGAATCTTAGACACTCTGGCCTGATATCATTAAGCTGCTGACTCAACAGTACCAATCAGCCACCTTTTCTGTTTCTTGCAGCCAAATGCATTCCTAACTGTTAAGGAATCTTTAATGAAATCTATTTGTGAAAGGCAAACAGATTCTATTTTCCAGTCATAAAATTTCCATCATAAAAATGAAACTATGTTATCTTGAAAATACTATACACAAGAATGTAACCAACCCTAATGTCTAGATAATGAACCTATATACTTTTCTGGTGAAACACTAATGCTTGAAATAATTATACTTAACCTAATATTTCACCTAATGCAAATAATTCTAGTAAGCTCAAAATGTCAGAAGTTAGAAGTGACTGGACCTCCGGCAATACGATCTTTGATCTATATCATCCTGTTTCATATTTTATTCTTTCTGCAACAATGGCAATTTCTAAAGCTTTTTAAAATTTATACGGCTGGGAAGGACAAGGGGAATTGCAGGGGTCAAAACGAGATTCAACTCTAATAAGAGGATGGAAGAGAATGAAAAGAACAGCATTTAGGGCCCATGGGGGTAGAGAAAATGATGATGAAAATACACTGATAGAAGGAAAAAGACAACTTAAAGATAAGTCTGGAACACATCAGGTGTTCCAGGGAATGAGTTTACAGAGCGAGAGGGGATCTTCAATTTGGGAGTTTGTTTCCCAAGGGTTTGGGATACAGTGAGAAGCCAGAGATGCTACTATATCCCGTGGCGTGCTGGTAAATGTTTAACAAAGAGCTCTCCAGGGTGGGGAAACATCTGGATTTACAGCATTTGCCAGTGTCCAGGGTGCAAATACTCCCATCCTGGCTGATTTCAAGCTACCAACACGAAAGCACTGAACACAGAGTGGAAAAAGATGCCGAGCAGCAGGCTGTTACATCATTTCTACCATACGGATCAACTAGGTATAAATAATCTTCAGAACATAAACAACAGTAAATGTGGTAAAATAATTACAAAAATTGTCTGATAATTTATTACCTTTGTTTTTAATACCATTCATTTAATTGTAAATTTATATATTTTAATTTTTAAAAATGGCTGTGTTTAACCACTGGACCTCAAAATACCTGAACATTTAAAAACTTTCTCCAGCTCACCACTGATTTATATCTAGACATTTGGTCCTGTTCCTGTCCCACCTTTAGTAGCTCTGACAGGTTCCCACCTTACACAGGTTCTGGCTTTTGCAGGTTTTACTGTATATACCTCATCCTCTGACTCAAAGAGAATAAGAAGAAAACATCTAAAGGGAACAAACTGCAACTGGACTCCTCTGATCTTCTACCTTAAGGATATCCTCAAATTATAAAGAAAACCAGGTTTGGCTTCAAAAATGAGTATACTGAACCTTAGAATGTTAGCTAAGAAGCTACTTCTATAAAATAAGCCTGGAGCTTCAGTAACATTAGGCATCTAAAAGAAACACTGCTTAACAAACAACAGACACTAAGTCTACCTCTAACTCTCTCTGAACCACCAGACAGCCAAGCAAAACCTAAAAAGGACTTTCAACATAACAACAATGCACTAATCATTGACTTAAAAAAAAATTCCTATTCCTGTTGGTGGGAATGTGGAGAAATTGGAACCATCACCCATTGTTGGAGGGAATGTGGAGAAATTGGAACCCTCATCCGTTGTTGGCAGGAACGCAAAATGGTACAGCCAACGTGGAAACCAGTCTGGAGGTTGCTGAGAAAACCAGAGGTAGAGCTGCCGTCTGACCCAGCAGTCCCACTCCTAGGTTTGTCCCCAGGGATCTAAGAGAAGTAACGTGAACAGACACGCCCACCTACGTCCATCACAGCACTAGTCACGATAACAGATGGGAACGACCTCAGTGCCCACCAACGGATGAACGGACAGGAAAATGTCGTACGTAAACACAACAGAATACCACTCGGCCACAAGCAAAAATAAGTTCCCAAAACATCTTGGAACCTGGGTAAGTCTGGAGGACATTATGTTGAATGAAATAAGTCCATCACAAAAAAACAAATACTGTATGTATTCACTTTCATGAAATGACAGGAAGAGGTAAATCTGCAGAAACTAAGGTTCATTAGTGGTTACCAGGGATGGGGGAGAGGCAGATTCATTTTCTAGATAGCAGACCCTTGTTAATTCTGATGATGGGAAAGGTAACACTGAATGAGGGTGAAGTGTGCACAGCTTCACAAAGGTAAACAATATAACTAAAAGGTACACAAGAAAAAAGGGGCCCCTGCTAACTGCTATGACACACGTAATTTTGAAACCACCACCAAAACATGTATGTGCAGGTATATGTGTATGTAGGCAGGCATCTGTGTGTATAGATATGTATATGTGAGTATCTGTGTATATGTATAGGTGTATGTATACATACAT